CAGAAGTGAAGTACTGGTCTGGCATAGTGCCAATTTACAACAGTGACTGCAGACCAGGGGTCATTGAAATTATGGTGCGCTGTCAACAAATGGATGACAGATTCAACTCGTCGTGAATGTCCTCTAGGTTAACACTAGCGGAAGGTGGCTGTGGCGTTGTCCTGTGATAAAGTGGTTCTACGCATTTAGGAAGAATATTTACACGCAATAACTGAAGATCCGCATTAAATAACCGCATATTGCATGTTGTATTCAGATGACGTAATGCTGCTGAGGAGGGAAAACAGAAAACAGGCTGCAGAAGAATACCCGCATAAGGTGTAGGCGTACGATAAGGAAATGCCCGTCAAACTTAAAGGAAAAGGTCTGTGCTTATGCACGAAGCCGGATATTTGACTCCCATATTGAGTCACCAGCAATATTGAACTCGGTACAAATGAAAATACTCCGATGGACGAGTGGTTTCAGCAAGAAAAACCATATCTGGAACAGCTTCACAAACGGCACTTTAGGAGTAGCACCACTTTCAAAGAAACCTATCGAAATCAGGCTCGGTACCATAGAAGGAAGAACCAGGGAGTACGTGGGAAGTGTTTTCAATGCACTGATATTTCCAAGAAAGGAAGGAAGTGGAAGATCAAAGCAAAGCTGACGCGATGAGGTAAAAAACGGTATGAAACTGAAAAGAGTGACGGAGAGTTCCCCCAAAGATCGAAAAATGTGAAGGCAATTTGCTCAAATAGCAGGCTCCTCTTAAAGGGAATATGTTTGGAAAAAGAAGTCGGGTGTCAGGTATTTTTATAAAATAACCGCAGACACTGTGCACAACTTCTTGAATGAACCACGCCACGTGGCTGTCAAATCAATGGGCCAACAATATCTGATATTTCTTACTTTTCCAGCGAATGTTAAGTCATCAGGAAGTTGCAATGAAGCTCTGTTGATTATACTTCCGTAAACTCTTTTTCTTCAGGACCCCTGCTTGTAGGAAGAAGTCGTTGACACCATATGCAGCTTCCAAAAATTCCGACTGTTCCGAGTGAATACTCTATAGACTCATTATATAGACTGATTGCACTGACTGATACTGGTTACAAACTCAGCGAATATACTTTGATTGACGTTGCATCACAACTTGCGAAGTTGAATACAACGACCGTATCAAGGGGATAAATCGTCAACCGACGTTTCGGTCTGTATCTCACGAATCTTCTTCAAAGTTCAGTTGGTTATCACTGGTCAATACACGTGCTATCTGGAAGTGCAATCAATTTTGTGTTTTCACGACTAAGTTTAGAGAGAAACGAGGCCCTGATTTGAAACTGAATCTTATAAATAATTTTCTTATATAGTTAAAACACTTAGAACTGCTTGACGTGTGCGTTACATGTATTCAGTGAGGAGCAAAATTCACAGTTATCTTAAACTTCAGCGCGAGAAACTACAAATAAGTCAAAATTGGTGCAGCTATCGTTCATAGGCATACGAGTCTCATGGGTACTGAGTTTGTAGCGTGAATATGGGTTCTTGACAGAAGACGATTATGTTATATACAATCATACAAACGCAGATTCACTTCGAAATAAGGAAAAAGGCAAGTAAGATACAATGGCTAACATGTATACCATACTTTCATGGCGCAGCAGCGGTATCCATGCGAAGCTCACCTTACAGTTGTCTTCTTGTCCATTCATCTTGCTGTGAGGGTGTACCCCTATAACGGCATTCAGTATCTTCTTCCCCTGATTGCCTTCTTTTCGAATTGCTGAGCTGAAATCCTACCGGGTCCTCGTGAGGTTGTGTTTGGATGCGTTTGATCCTTTTTTGTCTTTCCTGTATGCGTTTCCGTATCCGGTTGTTGAGCCTTCTGCATCGTTTCTGCAAAGTGGTTCTCACGACGAGTGCACTTAGTCGATGCATCACCCAGCGATATCTGGTTGTCGTAAGATACCTCTCCTCTACAGAAGATCCCCCCTCCAGGCGTCTGCCGGTAGCTGCATATCGTCATTATGCCATAATCGTTCACCGATGGTTCACGTTTGTCCGGTAGGTAAGGATTGAGTCCGTTGTACCTGCAGTGTGACTGACAATGTACGAACAAACTAATCAAAATGATAATCTGTACAACGAGCGGGGAAGGAGCAGAATGACTTTCAAAAAACGATATGGAACACGGAAGTGGAAATAGGCGTATGTTCTGAAATCCACACTAATTCAGTCTGAATATTTGAAATGAGAAGCTTCCTCGACAAATGCATTTCTAATGCAAAGACTATAGGTGCAAGCAAGAGGCATCGACAAAACGTTTTTATATGAAGCTCGTCTTTCAGACCATACCAATTTGCTTATGACCAGGGTTCAGATGCAAATATACGTAGAGACCTCAACCAGAAAAATCACTTCTCTGAAAAACTTGTCTGAGGAACATTATAAATGTTCGCCGTTCTCCAATGTTCCAGCTGTTGACCATCTGCAAGGAATCGACCTAGCCTCAATGACTGGTCAGTTGCTGATGTGGGAGTCAAACTTGACCAAAAAATGACCGGCGGCAAGCACCTCACAAGGCAGAGAAGATTAAACTTGCTGTAGATGAAAACCCATTCCCTCGGTGACAGATCGCTGTTTTGTAAAGCCATCAAAGCTGAGGCTGATGAAGCAGCAATAACCCCGCCGCGGAGAGTTGGCAACGACCCCCTGGCCAACTGACAAGACGACGTACGAGGTTCATTAGAAAGTTAATGCGGCTGACTAAAGAGGCGATGAACACAAGGTTGCCAGAGTTCATCATACCGTCGAAGGCATGCAGATTGCTGTTGCTTAAAAACTAGCCTCCCAAACTTTGAGGAAATGATTGGGACTGCCATCCGCATTAGTTGTTTTGAAAAGCATCCCTCATGCCGAACCACCAATTTGCAGAAAACTGACGATCACCAGAGAGCGACGAAAAAATCCAGACGAAGTTACGTCGATGCCACTATAAAGTAGAATGAAGGAACTATGCTTGAGCTCATGAGCGACCATAGTGATGGCTTCTGACCCGAAAGACGGCACATCAGGAGAAATGAGAAAAGCCTTAGGTATTTGTAATATTGTGGTACTTCTTGGTGTAAGATTTTCGTCTGCCTTTTATAACCGCAGTATCGGTGTAAAGTAAGAAGTGAATTTTTCTTTACGCTGTACATTTTCGCAGTCTCAATGCGGTATCGATAAATTTTGAGTGAGGAAAGAGAACCTGTATCGCCCTGGACGCCATTGCTCTGTCAGAAAGATGGATAATTTAAATTTCTATGGGCATACTGAAAATGAACTCCGAAGAGAGCACGCATATCAGCGGTATTTGGACGACCAAGACTGGAAGAAATTCTGCAAACGTTGTCATGGAGTGGCCATTCTTCTGAAGAGATGCTGACATTTGTGAACATCCGCTGTCGAACATCGAGCTGATCACTGCGAATCTCAGACGATCACCGATGGCAGATGGCATGCTTTACGTTTTCGGCAACCCACGTGATGGCAGCCAATTTTCCTGTTCGATGTTTTTTGCATCGTAACGGTTGTTCGAGCCTTTTTCACCATCAGGCTATTTGCTTTAAGCACTGTTTTTGTGTCTGTTTAGGTGGCAATTTGTTGTTATTCGACTACTGTCTCTAATTATTTTTTACGCCACCGTGGAGCATGGTTTTCACGGCCTAATTATCTGCTTCTGAATAGTCTGCATGGTCGGCTATGCGTAGTTTTTATGCATCTGTCGTACAGGACAGCTGCCGACTGCTCGGTCTGGCGCCACAGAGGCGTGGTTTTTGCGCCAGCGCCACCGTAGCCTCCGATACTCGCTCACGACAAAACTGGCAAGCGACACCCTCCTTCGCCTCGAACCGAGTTCGAAACCATTTTTTTACTCGAAACAGCTGTCGTCGGCTGCCGGCGTAGAATGCGCTATTTGGATGATGGCTATCTAGCTATGGGGGCACGAAAGAAAACCGAACTCACTGAACTGTCAGTTGGCGCTTTAAACGAACCAACCGGCCAATCGTTACTAAGGGCGTCCCGTTGTGTTCACTACTCACAGCCTGAGCATCAAAAACGGTGTATCAGTCCGGTTGTCTCTATGTAGAAGGGAAAAGGATTGAATTTCACAGATGGCTGGTTGCTGACCTTTGCTCGAACGTGGGAGATGCGAGATTACTCATTCATAACTGACCGGCATTTTTCGGACATAAGACAAGTTTGTTGGAAAGAAACGTCTCATGTGCCACAACATCTCACGTGCCGCAATGAATCACCTAGAAGGAGAAGAGGTACTAAATGTTAAATTTTGAACATGCATTTGACAACATGGGAAGTTTGGTGAGGCTGGGCTTTGTCAAATCTCCAATAGGGTTTATTAAAAGTTATGGCTATAAAAACTTGACCATCAAGGGACTGAAATCCATGAAAATTTTGAAATGTTATGCTGACGTGGCCACTGCGAAACTTCTGAACGGAGTAAAGCGTTAGTGGTTGATTAAGTTTTTGAGCAGTTCGAAATTCAGAGTTCGTTTATGAAGATATTCGACAGAAAATTTCGATATTCTGGTCACTTCAGGAGAAAGTGTGTCTGTTCATCATCAACTTCACCTGGACACCTTCGCATAATCAGAACGTCTCTGGTTGTATTCGCAGTTTTATCTCGCCTTGCGATAAGGCATCGATTACTGTGTTGAAGAAGAAGGAGTATTTCCTGTTTGAAGGCAGATCAACCTCTACCTTTTACCCCCATTTTGCCTGCTGGACTCTCGGTTGACGTCTGCCGTGATTCGGCTCCCATACGAGAAACTCCCGGCTAGAGTAAGTGGTTTATACTCAGTTTGACTAACAGATCCAACCTCCTTTTTTTAATCTCCTCACCTACGGTGCACATTTGTGTACGGAAGTGAATGGAGGCATTCCTTACAAGGTTAGGTAATTTAATCTAACCCTCATTACACGTCTCAGCAACGCTGCTGTCCGCGGTTCAACCGTCTCGTCCTTGCTTCTTTCGTTAGAACAACTGCCTCCAAGAAGTGCAACAACATTGACCTGACCAAAGCATGGCATAGGCGGATTTTTTGGAAAGGGCCACTTTGTTCTCAGGCCAAATACTTGACAGGATGCGAAGCAATGGATGCGAGGCGCTCCTCATATTTATCTCTAATTACTTGGGCCATCGCTGGCGATGATTCAGCCAACATATTTATATTTGTCGACCTCCTCTATAAATTACTCTGCCACAGGTTGTACAGTCAAGAGTAAGATCCGTACGGTCGTGCGTCTTATGCTGGTGAGCCATCTGTATGAACGGCCTTCCGTGTGGGCGATCCTTATTGGAACTGGATTCGCGGCTGGAGCTCTGAGGTGGACTGAGTTTTGTCGGGAGGTACAAAGGCACAGCACAAAGGAAAAACAAGTAATACACAACATTAGATATTAAAACGCTAATGGCGTTCCTGGCAAGGAGAGTCAGGCTTAGTAAATTGTTTACTTCTCTTCCCCTTAGTTCATTTTGTTGTTGATTTGTTCCGTTATTACGGTTTTGATTATTTCCTGTTTTCTCCAGTTTCCCTCCATTCGAATTGCTAGGCTAGAATACTTGTGAATGACATGGCTCATAAGCAAGCCATGCATGCCCTAGCTGGACTCTCGTCAGCCAGCATACACAGGCAGTACGTGACTGCGTCCCGTTTTCGAGTTTCTCTCCAGTTTCCCGGATGCAGGTGTCACAACAAGTGCAACTGAGGCGTTGCAGGGGTACCCCGGGGTATCGTGATGTGATAGCATCCATTATTTATACGAAAGGCACCCTAACTTATGCACGACTGCCGTATGGTAATGATACTGTATTTTTAATGCACCGTTGTATCCTTTCACCTAGATTACTGTTGTAAGGGACCACTGGTATAGTGCTCCTGTTTGATGTGTAAGAAAGTGGTAATGGTTGATTCTGTTCAGCTTCAGGTCTAACTTTTGGAGCTGCTCAAGAATGTAAGATTTCGAGGATCAATTTTTTCTTAGCTAATTGATCAACCTATGTTCTGCTACTGTAAGGTAGCAAGGTGTGATCGAAGCTAGTGGAGGGTTTGTACTTGTTCAGCGTTCTCTAATATAGGTGTGTGTGACCCATGGTTAACGGTTCTTCCGGCGTGGACTGTGATTTTATTGATGGTCATTCATTGGATATATCCATCTCTGTACACTAAGAAATCTAGAAACTAATGCGTTCGGGTTTCTTCGAATTCCTACTTTAATAAGTACTCTGGACATTTCAGGAAGATGAATTAATTCATCCATGCCATCTACTATTTCAGCAAGATTTTACAGATGATTCTGATGATTACGGAATATGGGCGGGCCTTGAGATTAAATGAACGGGATCTTTTCGAATGAGGATTGTTGAATTTTGTTCGCTCATTGAATGCTTTTCCAGAGATCTCGCGATACAGTTGACAAAGAACGTGGAGAAAATCACAAGGATCGATGCACCTCAATTAAATTAAACTTTATACATATTTTTATTGCGCTTTTAATCTTACCAATGAGACTTTATATGCAATGTACGCAGTACAGTTTTATTATAGTCAAGTTTTGACAGACCTGTCGTATTTCTTCAGCTCAGCTGTAGCATATCCATTTGTACCTGTATTTTACGGAAAATTTTATTAATTGTATTCAATGGATCAACGAGCTCAAAGCTGTTTAAGATTTTCAACCATTTTTCATGTTTCGTCAGCAATCGAAAAATTCCGATAGTTGGTCCCATAATTATGTGATATCTTGTCAAAATCGTGGTACACAAAGTCAAGCTTATTCTTTGACCCGTGTCATGAAAATGTGTATACACTGCGCTTGAAGGAGATCGTCCGCCTTCACAGAGGCCGTTCAAGATAGCAGTTCCTATAATATTAAAACTGATTAACAGAATAACAGTTTTATCTGATAAATGATACGGTCTTATCCATATCCCAATTTTTGTTCAAAATCCAAAATATCACAATAAGCTTAGACCTGTGTGAAAACTTCGGTTGGCAGAGTAGTGCAAGTTCCATTCGTCCAACAGCTGTCCACGTGATGGGCGAAACGCCATGAAAATATTTTAGAAGGTTTCGTGCAGCAGACAAGGCAGGCAGAACAGTTGAGAAGTATTTTCTGAAATTCATGCGATTATGTACCGGTGGGTGACTACTCACTGTAGTGAGGAGGTGGTTGCATAAGAAGAAGAGGTTATTGTGTTTGAGTTCATGGAGGAGGCATCAAAAACGGCCGAGCCTCACAGGGTCGTCATCTAGAGCTCTATTGGGCCGGGTAAGAGGCAAACTGATATTATTTCCAAGATCACGAAGCATGTGTGAATAAATCACAGAACCTCCTGCAGGATCAGAAGAAGAGATTAGATGAAGGTTGTTCTCGGTAACAACGAAGGACTAATCAAAACAT